TGAGCCAAACTGAATATAAATTCATTTCAAGAACATCTAGCATTAGTAGTCGTATATAACTATTTGCATTATCTTACAGAACCGACATAAGTGAGCAGTTTTAATCATAAAGAGATGAGATATTAAATCAAACATATTACACAGTAGTCATCCATTGGACTAGTACGTATTGTATTCAGTCTCGACCACTTCGTAGGGAAAGAGAGAGAAAGATGACTGTAAAGGGAGCAAAGAAGACCGTTGATGAGAAGGCATCACCTGTCACAAGGCAAATCAATATATTATCACTATTATAAGTGATTTGTTGGAATCTATCCACGTGAAATATATACACCTAATGAAATTTAATAAGCACATAGACAGCTAGGAGGATATTTGTGGGTTATATCTCTCCCTGCAGTCTTTTGATAATGCTTATCAATAATCTGGATCTGATACCAGCGTCTCGAACACGGTCAGATCATAAATGCGGCCAAAGAGATTAAAAGATGACGTAAAGAAAATACAGATGCATCATGCTGTTAAGTCACGCCATGCAACCTCAGTGACTCAGCAGCGAGAGAGGTCACGCTGCCCTCGAGTCGAAGTTGTCCTGGGAGGCAGCCTTCACCTACTCTCCATATACCGTGAAATCTGGAATACCATCTGTAGGCCCAAGAACCACGAAGGTAGCAGGGGTTAATGCGGGAAGCACCATGGCTTAGGGATTGGCGCTGTATTAACATATTGCAATGAAGTTTTACGGTTTTTAAAAAGATACATTTCTGAGGGCGGGGACACGCTTGCGGAGGCGGAGCGAAGGCAGGGACTCGACCCCCTGTTCCTCTTGCCTTTTTTTAATCTTCGCTTCTTCAATTTCATTTTTTCAATACGTTATGTTCATTTCGTTTGGGATTGATTGGATCGACGATGGAATACTTCATCTTAGAACGCCGCTGGCTCCTTCCGATCCCGCCAGACTACGTGCTGTAATTGACGCGCCCGGGGACCGCTGGGTTCCCTCCCGCCTCGCCTCGCTCTTATAAACTGGGAAGGATTAAAATTCGACACAACTCCCTTGACACGACCATGAACGCTGCGCTGATTCTCTTTGCTCTTTTCGCTGCCGTCGCTGCCGACAAAATCCCCGACTTCGTTGTTCCGGGAAAATGTCCGGTTGTAGATGAGAAAGCGCTGTTCGAACAACAGAAACCTAACCACCCTAGTGTAAGTTACTCTAATTTTACTCTAATCTTTATATACACGCTGTGATAATAATGTCATGGAGAGGTATTACATTTCATTTTCCTTCTCTTTCAGTTCGCAGGTGTATGGTACGAGATCGCTCTCACAGAGAACCCATATCAACTCCTGGAAAAGTGTGTCCGCAATGAATATGCTTTTGGTAAGAACCTGATTATACTTTTTTTAAGGTCATAAAGTCCGCTCAACTTTTTGTCTTAGAAATAACATGATAAGATACGGTTTTTTGTTGTTTTTTACAGAGAAAAAAATATTTATATCATTTCTCTTCACAGATGGTACGAAATTCAAAGCCAGATCCACTGGTATCGCCGGTGATGGTACCATGATGAACAGAAACGGCCAGATTTTGCCCATGCCCTTAGGAGAGCCTCATCTTTCCGTGGACTACGAAGAATGTGAGGATATGACAAAAAAAATCGTATATTGAATGATGTTAAGAAATGCCATGCTTAAAGATTCACATTTTTTTATTCTTGTTCTTTCTTTTTGTCTTTTTTTTTCTTTCACACTCTCTTCTCTCTCTCTCTCTTCTCTCTCTCTCTCTCTCTCTCTCTCTCTCTCTCTCTCTCTCTCTCTCTCTCTCTCTCTCTCTCTCTCTCTCTCTCCATCTATCTATCTCTATCATTTTATCTATCTAGCCCTGACTTCATGAATATAAAAAACCTCTCTCTCTCTCCCTCTTTCAGCCTGGATCGCTCCCTATGTCATCCTCGACACGGACTACGAGAACTTCGCCTGCATCTACTCCTGCACCGAATACAACTTCGGATACTACTCCGACTTCTCCTTCATCTTCTCCCGCTCGCCAAGCCTTTCGGACAAGTACATTCGACGTTGCGAAGCCGCCTTCAGTAATATCGGGGTTGACATGTCTCGATTCACCAAGACGGTGCAGGGATCTTCGTGTTCCTACGATAGCCTGGGATCCTTTTAAAGACTGTTGTTTATAGATGATTAAATGCAGTGATATGGCGCGTATGTTGTTGTTTTTAATAAAGTCTAAAATGGCTTTGTGTCTCTCCATTTCCCTATGAGGTTGTAATGCGCAGTACATGTAATGAAAAGTAATGTAGTACTGTAGTGAGAAAATATAATGAGAAAATAATCAACGTGCATTTATGACAATGATGCAATTATGGCTTTACTGTTGCTATGTAACAACAGTGGTCTCTACGCAACGGAATATGAAGCCATGCCATTCAATATACTCCATGCTTATCGGCATCATAAACATGCCAGAGAAGCAACATATGCAAGCCCCACCAAACGCGTTGCATGAGTCACTTTTCAATAAACGAGAATTAGGAGACAGGATAATGCTAATGCACGAAGACGAACCGCGCAGGCAGGTGATAAGATGCTGAGAAAAAGTGGCCAAGCAACTTCTTATTTACGGGTGGTGGTGGGGGTGTGGGGGGGGGGGAGGTTCAAAGACCCGCCGAGGAAGTTGGTTCATTTGCTCCTTTCTTTTTGGTTCTTCCTTTCTTTGGCTATTGCCTATTTGTGGTGCCGGATTTGAAATGTGTATATATATATGTATATAAGTGTGTGTGTGTATATATATATATATATATATATATATATATATATATATATATATATATATACATATATATATATATATATATATATATATATATATATATATATATATTATATATTGGTATGTATGTGTGTGTGTGTGTGTGTGTGTGGTGTGTGTGTGTGTATGCATGTATGTATACATATATATGTATATGTATATGTTTATATATTGTAATATCTATATATATAGTTATATTATATCATATATTATATATATAGATATATATTATATATTGTATATGTGTACATTATATTATATATATATTATATATGTATATACGTATGTATGTATATATATATATAGTGTAGTACGGATAGGAGCTTTATTATATTATATATATAATGTAATAGTGTCGGTTGATAACATCATATATGAGGGTTCACATAATCAAAATCAGATTATTATTCATTATTTAGTATATACTATATATATATATATTAGTATATATTAGTATAATTATTTATACATATATCATAGTTAGTATGATTATCTAGTATGTTATATATATGGTATATATTATATATATATGATATTATAATAATATGGTATATGTTTTAGTATAATACTATATATATAATATAATATAATTATATTTATATAATATATATGTATACTGATTTATGCCTGATGGGTCAGTGTATAGATAGTATGATGATGGTTGAGTAGTATATTATTAATTTTATATATATATGTGTAAGTTATGTATGCGTACATTATTTAACTTCGTGTGTATATACTACTATTAAGTTTGTATATATATCTATCTTTATAGTATAGTATATTATTTATAATATATATATATTATAGTGTGTGTGTGTTGTTGTGGGTGGTTGTTGTGTGTGGGATGGTGTTGTGGTGTGTTGTGTGTGGTGTGTATGTATGTGTAGTATATATAGAGTTGAGATTTATAAGTGATAGTGGTTATCAGATGTACCTTTGACTGAATTGTCTGGAGGGTTAGTGTTTATATTATTGCAGTTTAGTATTATGTAGGTTATATCTTGATTTGCCGTGTCTACTGCTATGGTAGAGATATATTATTATATAATTAGGTTGTGTGTGTGTGGTGTGGTCGAGTGGTGTTGGTGCCCTGTGTAATATCTATAATACGTATCAATAAATATTTATATTAATATAGTTATTATATATTGTATATTATATAATATATATTAATATGGTATGTATTATATATATAGTAGTGAGTATAGCGATTTATTATATAGTAATGTATGTATAATATAGTATATCATGATATTATTAGTAGTTATTATATATAGTATATTATATGTATATATATTATATATATTATATAGATGATTTTCATTAATATATATATGTGTGGGTGGCGTGTGGTGTGTAATATAGTTATTTCTATATATTTTTATATTAGGTATGATGTATGTTAGTTGTCTGATTATATGAATTATTATAGAGAACTATGGCTGAGTATTATTATTTATTATTAATTATATCATGTTATATTTTGTGTTGTTGTGTAGAGTATATAATGGTTATATTTATTTATAGTATATATTGATATAGTCTTATATATTTGTATATTATTAATATATACGTAATCTTTAGTGAGTTGGTTTGTGGTGCGGTGTGTGTGTGGCTGTGTGTGGAATGCTTATGATTTTGTATATACTATCTTTATGCTTTTAAATCTTCTTTAAAACGTTGTTTTTTCCTTCATTCATATGTAGCGCTGGCGATTGCGAGCAGTCTGGTGTGTCTGTATATTTCAGAATTAGCTTTGCTTTTCGCTTGCTCGGTTTACTTAAGCTTTCAGCCTGAAGCATAAGTCTGAAGATAGACTCCGATCAAGACTTCTTCTTTTTACGGCTTTGAAGGGATCGGTTCGGCAGCGGAGTGAATGGCTGCCGTGCAGTGGAGGGATTCATCACTAAAATCGATCACTAATTATGATGGAGAGAGAAAAAAAAAACGGTATAAAACTGCTTCGTCTTGCCAACTGTATGTGTTCAGAGGTTGTCGAGGAATATTAAATATGTTTTTTAATTATGAAGTCGTAAATATGGGTCATTCTAAGATTATATCTAAGTTTATATTCCTTAAAACTGCGCTGCAACCGGTGTTTACAGTGAGGAGTAAAAAGTTTAATGAGATGCCGTCGGTTATCGATGAAGGAAAAGGTAAACAACCCTAATGCGATTATATCTTTATTAGAAATATAAAACGAACTAATATCTTTAAGAAAAATAGATGCATTTAATCTCATGAAAAACTGAAAAAAAAAAAAAAATGATGATATCGACTCCATTCTTGCGGAAGACGGAGGCGCCGTGCCGTTCGCTGGACCGGAAGTCTGTGGGGTGCGCGAGAAGCCGAAGACGAGGCCGTTCCTTAGGCGCAGGGATACGCACACGAGGACGTCTCGAAGTCGGTCTCGATCCCTTCGCAGAGAACGGCGAGAACTGCAAACGAGAGGGAAGGATGACATAACAGAGTGCGACGAAAACTGTAAAAAGGGAAGGAAAAAACGTCCATATTTAAAGCTAACGCCTGAAATATGCTAATGTTGATTTATGGTTATAAAGATGTTACATACGGCATGAACTTTTTAAGACATTCATGTTTTACACGTGTCAGCAGGGAGACTGATAGGCACGTGGACAGCTGGTAAGTCCTATGTCGGGTAGATTTTTCCTGAGTCCAGCTGTGGTCACCTTAAGGTGCTGTCACACTTGCACTTTTTCCGTCATTTTTTTTTCTTTTTTTTTTTTTTTTTTACAATTTTCAGAAATTTTGTCCATTTTTGAGCGAACTATCGATTTTCCAGTCAGACGATAATGATCGTTTCCGTCTGAAAACCTTAACGTCAAATTTTTCAGCCAAGCATAGTCAAATCTATTCGAGAATGTTTGTATTTATGTTAAATAGAATTGTAAAAAAAATGACGGAAAAAGTGCTATTGGGACAGAGAACCTTTAAAGCCATAGGTCACAGTCGGAGTAGTCGTAGTCGGAGTGGATGCAGCGAGTGAATGGCTGATAGGCGCTGTCGATGATCTGGGTCTGATACCAACGTCCAGCATACTGTTGGAGAATAAGTGTTATTTAGGCACTGAACGCGACTGCCTATAAATCAGTTAACAAATGAAGATGCTATAAATAAGTAATAGATAAGTAAAAAAAAATCCAAGAAGGTTGAAGTTGTCAGGATGTCGGCGTCTAGAGCACCGATGGACGAGAGGAAAGAGTGATAAGTTTTGATAATAGGATTTGGGCATCAAGTCAAGAGTGATATGCCTGCAGCAATAGTCCTGGCATGACAATAGGGGTGAAATGAAGCAGTTATGGTGATCAGAGAAATACATGATTTTAGTGTTTGTCTAATCATTCTGATTATTATCTCTCTCTCTCTCTCGCTCTCGCTCTCGCTCTCTCGCTCTCTCTCTCTCTCTCTCTCTCTCTCTCTCTCTCTCTCTCTCTCTCTCTCTCTCTCTCTCTCGTCTCTCTCTCCTCTCTCTCTCTATATATAATATATATATATATATATATATATATATATATATTATAATATATATATATATATCTTTCTACTTCTCTCTCTCCTCTCTCTATCTCTCTCTCTCTCTCTCTCTCTCTCTCTCTCTTCTCTCTCTTCTCTCTCTCTCATCTCTCGTCTCTCTCTCTCTCTTTCTCTCTCTCTATCTATCTATCTATCTAAATCTATCTATCTATTTATCTATCTATCTATCTATCTATATCTATCTATCTATCTTATCTATCTATCCTAATCTATCTATCTAATCTATCTATCTATCTAATCTATCTATCTATCTATCTATCTACTATCTATCTATCTATCTATCTATCTATCTATCTATATATATATAATATATAATATATTATATATATATATATATATATAATATATTATATATACATATATATATTATAATATATATATATATATATATATATATACTATATATATATATCCCTCCCTCCTCTCTCTCTCACTCTCTCTCTCTCTCTCTCACTCTCATCACTCACTTATCTTTCTTTCTTTCTTTCTTTCTCTCTCTCTCTCTCTCTCTCTCTCTCTCTTCTCTCTCTCTTCTCTCTCTCCTCGTCACTCCTCTCTCTCTCTCTCTCTCCCTCTCTCCTCGGCTCTCTCTCTCTCTCTCTCTCTCTCTCTCTCTCTCTCTCTCTCTCCTCTACTCATCCCTCTCTCTCTCACTCTCACTCTCTCCCTCTCTCCCACTCTCAACTCTCTCTCCCTCGTCTCTCTCTCTCATCTCTCTCCACTCCTCTCTCCTCTATCCTCGTCATCTCCTCTCAGTCCCTTTCCCTCCGCCATCGCGGGAGCGCTTCGTCTCGCCCTCTCCCCTCGTCTCTCCTCGTTCGTTCTCGCTAGCTCTCTCTTCTCTCTCTCTTTTTCTCTCCTTCTCTCTACCTCACTCGTTCTTCACTCTCGTCTCGATCTCTCCTCTCTCTCTGCTCTCTCTCTCCCGTCTCTCCCTCTCTCTCTCTCGTCCCTCTCTCCCTCCTCTTCTCCTCTTCCCCTCTCGTCCCGTCTCTTCGTCCTCTCTCCCTCGTCTCCTCTGTCCCTCTGCTCTCTCTCCTTCTCTCTCACCCGCCTCGATCTCTCCCTCTCCTTTCCCTCTGGTTCTCTCTTCCTCTCCTCTTCTCCTCATCTCCTCTCTCCCTCTCGTCTCTCCGTCTCTTCTCTCCCTCATCTCACTCTCACTCTCTCTCCTCTCTCTCTCTCTCTCTCTCTCAGACTCTCTTCCTCTCTCTCTCCCTCTCTCTCTCTCCCCCTGGTCTCTCTCTCCCTCTCCTCCCTCTCTCTCTCTCTCTCTATCCCTCTATCTCTCTCCTCCCTTCTATCTCTCTCTCTCTCTCCTCTCTCGTCTTCTCTTCCTGCTCTCTCTTCTCTCACCTCTCTCTCGTCTCTCTCCCTGCTCTCTCTCTTTCCCTCTCTCTCTCTTTCTCTCCTCTTTCTCTCTCTCTCCTCTCTTCCCTCTCTCTTCTCCCCTCCTCTCTCTCCTCTCTCCCTCTCCCTCTTTTCTCTTGCTCACCTCTCTTTCCTCTCCCTCTTTCTCTTCCTCACTCTCTCTTCCCTCTTTTCCTCTCTCTCTTTCCCTCTTTCCTCACTCTCTCTTCCCTCTTTTTCCTCACTCTCTCTTTCCTCTTTTCCTCACTCTCTCTTTCCCTCTCTCCTTCACTCTTCTTTCCTCTCTTCTTCACATCTCTCTCTCCTACCTTCCTCTCCTCTCTCTCCCTTATAGTCCTCATTTTCCCTCACCCTCTCACTCGCACTCCCTCTTCGCCCTCTCTCTCTCTATCCTCTCCTCTCTCTCTTCCTCTCCTCGTCCTTCCCTCTCTCTCTCCTTCACTCTCCGTCACCTCACTCTCACTCGACTCTATCTTCTCTCTCGCCCTCTCCCTCCCCCCACCCTCTCTCCTCCTCTGCCTCGCCTGCACCCTCTCTTCTCTCTTCTCTCCTCTCTCGACCTCTCTCTCTCCTCTCTCTCTCTCTCTCTCTCTCTCTCTCTTCTCTCGCTCTCTCTCTCTCTCTCCTCTCTCTCTCCCTCACTCTGGTGTTTTTTAGTTTGGTTGAAAACCTTAGTATATCTTCAGGGAATCTTGGAGTGTTGACACGCCCGCAAAGCGTTTACCCGCAAAGGGCAGCAGAATGTGTTCAACATGATTTTTTCTCCCTGTATTGGTTTGTAGGACAAGCTAAGGATTTGCATGCTGAAGAACAGGTCCGGGAAAACATGCAAAATCCGGGGCAATGCCTTTTTATCTCTGGATATTTCCCTTCTGCTTTTCCTTTACTTTTTTACTTCAAGTCGCTTTGATAAAATGAAGGATAGATCGCGTTTTATGAGGAATAGATAAGTGGATCTTGTGTCTCTAACTGTAGCGGTGACGTGCTGGCCTTGCAATCTTGTTGACCCGCGTTCGATCCTGCGCACTTGAATGGTAACCCCGGCCATTCCTTGCACACAGGGAGAGATTTAGACATTATATCACAGCAAAGAATATCCATTGTAACTAATGGAATTGAAACTAAATCTATTTGGTTTTGAGGTCTTTCGGAATCTGCTTCTTTGTTCCAAGCCAAGCGTTTTGAAAAGGAGGTAAAGATACTGATAGCCACATCAAGTGTATAAAAGGTATGAATGAAAATGAATATCTTCACAATACAAGAGATGTATTTGACTGGTTTCGAATTTATATTTGACAGGGCTCGAATATAAATGTATTTCTAACGATGAATTCGAATCCAGTTTAATAAATTTCTTGTACTGTGAAGATATTCATTCTCATTCATACCTTTTCTACATTTGTCAATATGAATACCATTCATCCACATCATGTGTCATTTTATTTCAATTTTCTTTGTCCTTGCTGTTATTATTATTATTATCATCATCTTACTATCACAATTATTATATCTTATTATTACATTTATCATTATCATCATTATTATCAATCATTTTTATTATTATCATTATTATTGTTATTATCATTATCATTATTATTATTATTATTGTTGTTGTTGTTGTTGTTGTTGTTGTTGTTGTTGTTATTATCATTTTTACCATTATTATCATTAAAAAAATTATTATTGTTATTGTTATAACCATCATTATTTTTTTTATTATTATCATTATTGTTATTATCATTCTCATTTATCATCTTTCAGGACCACATCAAATTCAAAGCTAAATCCACTGACTGTAAAACTACTAGATACCTAACGAAGAGTATGAACCTGAGGTTATGAATGCCTTATGGGTTATTTATATGAATATATTTCAAGAACCGTTCAGATTGTTTCATATGCTAGACATTTGCCAATAGCACGTTTTTTCACAGCCTAGATTGCATTTTTATATTAAAGAAAAACTATTGCGGGAACTGGTCTTGTATCTACATCGAAAAAAAATCTGAATTTTGTTAAGAAGTCGCTTTTGTTTATTTATTTATTTTCATTTTTTCATTTTATATATATATATATATATATATATATATATATATATTATATATATTATATAATCTGTATATATGTCTGTGTGGTGTGTGTGTGTGTGTGTGTGGTGTGTGTGTGTGTGTGTGTGTGTGTGTGTGTGTGTGGTTGTGTGTGTGTGTGTGTGTGTGTGTGTGTGTAAAAACATGTATATACACATAGACATATGTATATACATATGCATATACATACGTGTAGATCGGTGGACGTAGATATGTGTATATGTAAAGATAATCATATACATACGTACACATCATCTCAGAATTATTTATCACACACTCGCACGGCAATACACACACGTGTACACGTGCACCCAACATGTGCAATTTCATCTTCAATTTTTTTCAATATTTGGGTCAATAAGTGTTTGCCAACGAATGGACAGACGTTCGGCTCCATCTGAAAGGTATATAAGTTATACCCTTTTTACACTATTGCTATTCAAGGGAAAATGCTAGATTATTACGGTGTAAAATCCCTAAAATCCCTATTTTGGAAGATTAGGGCAGACTCGCGTCCCAACGGGCTTTCTGTTCCACACAAGACAGTTATTTTTAGACATTCAATTTATATTCTGGGTGACCTCTCAGATCCCTGTCTCACCCGTTCTCGTGTTTCTTCTCTTTCTTCTTTGAGGAGAAAATAGATCACGTTCCTTAAACGCTATTTCTGGAGATTAAAAAAAAAAAAAACGCTTCTCAGACGAGTACATTTTGAATTATAAACTAAATCCTTTCAAGAACAACAAGGGTCAGATTGAGTAGAAGGTTAGGGTGTGTATCTTTTGTATGAATGCCTTTTCCTATACTTTGGATCTATTAATATGAAATATATAATAATATACCATATATTATATATCTTATAATATATCATATATTATATAATATATCAATATTATTATCTTATAATATATCAATATTATATATTTTACAATATATTATATATCATAATATATCGTATATATATATATATATATAATATATACTACATAATTTGTTTATAAAATTTAATATGCAAAATATAACATACTAGGGATTTAATGTCTTCC